ATTTATTTGAGAGAGGAAGAGAGTGAGCATGAGCCAGGAGGGGTCATTCTCTAGGGAGAGAATCCCAGGCAGGCTCTACACTGTCAGTATACAGCCCAACATGGGGCTCAAACCCGTGAACCATGAGATCATGACTGAGCTGAAATCCAGAGTTAGACACTTAACTGACTGAGTTACCCAGGTGCTCCTGTCTAGTGTACTTTTATCTTTCAGGACTTGTAGGACTTGAACATTTCTTGTAGGGTAGGTCTAATGGTAACAGGCCTTTGCCTTTTATTTCCTTAGAAATGTCTTAATTTCTTCCTCACTTTTGAAGGACAGTTTTGCCAGATACAGGCATACCTTGGAAATATTGTGGGTTCAGTTCCAGACCACTACAATAAAGTATTATCACAATAAAACTAGTCAAGTGAATTTTTTGGTTTTCCAGTATATACAAATGTTAGGTGTATCCTTCACTGTAGTCTGTTAAGTGTGCAATGTCGTTATGTCTGATGAAAAATGTTCATACCTTAATTAAAAAGTACTTCTTTGCTAAAAATGCTCACCATCATCTCACAAATCACCATAACAAATGTAATAATAATGAAAAAGTTTGAGATATTGTGACAATTTCCAAAATGTGATTCAGAGACACAAAGTGAGCTTATGCTCTTGGAGAAGATGGCACCAATAGACTTGCTCAACACAGGGTTGCCACAAACCTTCAGTAAAACTTTGCAATATTTGGGAAGCCAAGTAAAATAAAACAGAGTAAGATGAGGTATACATAGGATTGTTGGTTCAGTTTTCTCTCTTAGCACTTTGACTATATAGGTCCCCTGTCTTCTGTTATCCAAAGTTTCTTTCTTTTTTTTTAATGTTTATATTTTAAAGAGAGAGAGAGACATAGTGTGAGCAAGGCAGAGGAGCAGAGAGGAAGACATGGAATTAGAAGCAGGCTCCAGGCTCCGAGCTATCAGCACAGAGCCTGACACGTGGCTGGAACTCATGTACGGTGAGATCATGACCTGAGCTGAAGTTGAACACTCAACCAACTGAGCACCCCCAAAATTTGTGATGAGAAATCTCATGTTTTATTGAGAAACCCTTGCATATGATGGTTTACTTTTCTTTTGATGCTTTAAAGGTTCATCTTTATGCTTGGCTTTTATAAATTTGATTATATCTTGGTGTGAGTCCCTTTGAGTTTGCTGAGTGTCTTATATTTTCATATTCATGTCTTTCATAAAATTTGTGAAGTTTTTAGTCATTATTTCTTTAGATATTCTGTTTGCCTCTTCTGGGACTGTTAGTGATGCGTATGTTCATCCTTTTGAGGGTGTCCCACAGATCCTTTATGCTTTGTTCCTTTTTTCAGTCTTTTTTCTTTCTGACTCAGCCTCAATGATGTCCGTTGTCTTATCCTCAGGTTCACTGATCGTTCTGCCTGCTTAAATCTGCCTTTGAATTTCTCTAGTGAATTTTTCATTTTAGTTATTGCTGTCTCTTAGCTCCAGAATTCCTTTTTGGCTTCTTTCTTTCTTTCTTTCTTTCTTTCTTACTTTCTTTCTTAAGTTTATTCATTTAGTTTTGGGAGAGACAGAGACAGTTTGAGTAGGGGAGGGGCAGAGAGAGAGAGGAGACACAATCCCAAGCAGGCTTTATGCTGCCAGCACAGACCCTGACATAGAGCTTGAACTCACAAAGCTGTGCGATCATGATCTGAGATGAAATGGGAGTTAGATGCTTAAACAACTGAGCCACCTAGATGCCCTTCTTTTTTGTTATTTGGGTTTTTTTTTAGGATTTTAATTTCTCTCTCTTTTTTGAAATGTTTATTTTGAGAGTGAGTGTGCTTGTGTGCAAGTGGGGAAGGGGCGGAGAGGGAGAATCCCAAGCAGGCTCCACACTGTCAGCACAGACCCCAGTGTGGGGCTGGATCTCACTGACTGTGAGGTGATAACTGGAGCCGAGATCAAGAGTTGGATGCTTAATTGACAGAGCCACCCAGGCACCCCTGTTACTTATTTATTTGTTTATTTTTAGTTTTGTTATTTTGTAGGCTGTGTGCTGAAGATAAGCCTGAGGTGCAAACTTCCTATCTTCTTACATCTTTTCTGAGGCTTTCCTTGGGCACATGTAGTCACTTTCCAGTTTTTCCCATATACTCAGTTGATTTTGAGTGTTTTAATCTTGAAGGTGTGGCTCTTAAAATGAGAAAAGCCAAAAATGATGGGAAGAAAAGAATCATGGCTCTTTAAATCTTCTAAAACTCCCGTCAGCCTGATGAGCAGGGCTTGTAACACCGGGAGCTGGTGCAACACTGGCTGTCTGTCTCTTTGCACCTCTCTTGTCAGAAGCAGCAGTCAGCACAGTCCCTCAGCACTTGTGGACAGCGTCCTTTTTGCCTACTCTTACTTTTCTCAAGTGTGTGCAGTCTGCTTTAAGAAGGTGTACACAACCGTCTGCCTGTTGTTGGAGTGGGGAATACATAGCTATTGCTGTGCTGAGAGCTGAAATTGCCCCACACTGACCACAGTTAACTCTAAGCCTTCCCCTGGAAGTTGCAAGCCTTCAGCAGAATTCACAGTTCTAAGACAGGTTTATCAGACAGGTTCTGCCAGTGTAGTTATTTTGTAGGTGGGTGCCTCCTACTCTACTGGCTTCCCAGAATCCTAGATCATTGACTATTAAAATCAGGTCTCTTGTAGATTTGTTTTATTTTTTAAAGTTCATTTTGAGAGAGAGCTCGCAGGTATGTGTGTGTGTAGGGGAAAGGGGGGGAGAGAGAATTCTGAGCTGGCTCTGCGCTGATAGTGCAGAGCCCAACGCAGGGCATGATCCCTCAAACCTTGAGATCATGACCTGAGCGAAGATCAGAGTCTAATGCTTAACCCACTGAGTCACCCCTCTTATAGATTTGTTTTAAAAGAAAGAAGTTTCTTGGGGTGCCTGGGTGGCTCAGTGAGTTAAGCACCCGATTCTGGATTTCAGCTCAGGTCACGATCTCATGATCTGTGAGTTAGAGCCCCATGTCCAGCTTCACGCTGACAGTGCAGAGCCTGCTTGGGATTCTCTATCTCCTGCTCTCTCTGCCCCTCCCCGGCTCTCTCTCTCTCTCAAAATAAATAAACTTTAAATAAATAAAGAAGTTTCTTGTGGAACTCTAATTTAGACCAAGAAAAATTATGCTCCTAAGACAAATGAAGAAATAATAAACTACAAAGCCAATAAAAACTGTTATTGCAGATCATTGAAACTCATGTCAGTAATTGAAATGAACTCATGATATTTTGCTCAGAATGAATCACTGCTATGAATGAAGAATATGCAGGTTTTCTCTTTTTGGTGTATGATAAAATATATATAAGATTTACCATTTTAGCCTTTTTAAAGTATGTAGTTCAGTTGCAATAAATACATTTTACATTGTCATACAGCCATCACTGCTGTCCTTCTCTAGGACTTTTTCCTCACCCCAAAGTGATACTCTGTACCCATTAAACAATAACTTCCCATTTCTCTCCCTTCTAAGCCACAGGTTCTTTTTAAAATTTTGCATGTGTATTTTCAATGTGATGATTTAATTCTTTTATCAGTTTATTGGAAACACTTTGAAGTTTTCATTCATAGTTTTCTGTGATAGTTGGTATTTGCATAACAAAAATTTATCATTTATGTATGAAGATTGCATCTTGCTTTCATTAGCATTCTCAGTTTAATTTTTTTTTAATCACTTAATGATAGTACAAAAAAGCATGTGGTAGTTTCTCAGGTGATATAGAATGTACTTAAATATTTTAAATTAACATGAAAACAAAATTTTAAAAGCTATTTTCACACTTTCTACAAAAACATTAGATCTTCAGTGTAAAGAATATAGAGTTCAGGTTATTTCCTATAGACATGGCATAAGGTTATAAGAGTGCAGGTTAATGTAGTAGAGTTAGGAATAGAAAAGGAGGGATAGCTATGTGACGGAGCAGAAAGTATGGCAGTAAATCCAGATGTGAAGGATTAACGAAGCCAAGGATGACTCCAAAGATAAGGAACCTGAGGTATCAGGGGACGGATTTTATCCCTAACAGAATTAGGGAAATATGGTAGACAAGCTAATTTGATACAAAACCATTTATTGGGTTAACAAGCTAAATCTACTGTGCAGGAAGAAGTATATTATTGGAGGTATGGTTTAGGAATTACTGATGTGCAAGAGTTGAGATTGATCACTGAGTTTTCCTCTAGAAGAGAGAACAATATTTAGATCAGCAGAAGCAAGTGTTAGGGCTTATTTTGTAGTTGGAGGCAAGAAGCAGGAATGGTGGCGTGCTGAACACGTAAGATGAGAATCATGATAATCAGGCTCCACCATCTAAGGAAGGGGATCTTACGGCGGCAGAAGTCAGCAGTGTAGAACGCAGCAGAACACGAGGGCAGTAGTGGATGACAGCAAGTAAAATAACATTCATTGGGATCAGTAGCTGAAATTTACTCTTTTTCAAAGAAAATAGAGTTTTGTGTTTTCAGTGATTACTGATTACAGTATTGATTAAGGAGATTATGCTATTCCCCGCCCCCCCTTCTTAGATTTCCTGAGACTCTCTTTCTTACTATAAAATACTCTGATACTTTGTTTTAGAAGTTAAAACTAGCCAGCCAACATTACTTTGTTACTTAAAGACATTTACAAAAATAATTTGAGATGGCTTGGGATATCAGATATTTACTTTGGAGTATTTTAAACATTCCATTATAAACAGACATTTTAATATTGCAAAGTACTCTTGTTATAATTTATTTTACAATTATTTGTAACAGGTAGAAATATGGTAGTATAATTTATTTAGCTTTGTTTTAATTTGAGATTAAAGATTACAGTGTTAGTAGCCATATTGGTTTTAAGAAAAATCTTAGGTAGTTTTAGTGGGAAGAAAGTGAGAAAGACAAAATGGAAACGGTTTGAAGAAATAAACACTTGTTAGTAGTTCACTGAAGTAATTGTTACATTTGCTTTTTAGAAAATCGCTTCAAGAAATACATCAATCAGATTTTGGAGCATGGGCCTCTTCAAAAGATCGGAGAGGTCGTCTTGGACATTTAGAATCAGAACTTCTTTTTCTAAGCACACTTACTGGCATCAATATAAGAAATTACTCCATGAAAACAGAGGACCTAACAAACACTGAGAAGACAGACAAGAGTAAGCATTAACTTTAATTTGGAAGTGATGTTGAAGTTTACCTCATTACGCAGGAAATTGCTTGTCATGTCTTTGAATTAAAATCCTACAAGATAACTATTTGACTATGTGGTGTGGTAAACTTGTTTTGTCAGGTGTCTTTTGAACATCACAGTGTGCATAATACTCTTTTAAAGCTGCCTGAAGTAGATATTGAGGAAGACAGGCTTTGTCATTAAGTATTTTAATAGTCAAGTAACAGATAAGTGAAAGATAGCGTGATTAATTTGCAAATCTTCAGAGTTGAGAGCTGTCTCATCTAAAGTGCTCTACTCCTTGGCCTGTGGCCAAGATAAATGTTTCAGGATCTGGACCATTTTCCAGAGGAGGGTTTCTGGTCCAAGTGATTGAGTGTTTATTGCCAAGAGTTTGTGATATACTACTCCCTTATAAAGGGGAAGTTAATTCAGCTGTGCATCGGACGTGGGAACTTTGGGCAAGAGTATCAACCTTTAAGGAAAAGAATCACTTTCTTTAAATGCTTTCTGACTTTTCCACTGAAATAACCCTCATGACAGGGAAGATAAAGTGAGTTGGACCTCAGAGGTCCTTGGGTAGCACACCTCAGCAGAAGTCTGAAATACATAAGAAATGGGTGATAGAATTTAAGTACTTGAGGTATTTGAAAGGAAAATATGGAAAACAAAGAGGATGGGAGAGTGAGGTTTGGCCAGATATGTTTTGCTAGTGCAAAAATCTTAGTCTTCCCATTTTGCGTCTTCCTATGTTGACTTTGTTGTGGGGTACTTGGTGCAGCCTATTCAGAATGCTTTTGAATGGGCTTAATACCATGCTTCTCCCATTGCTGGCTTAGGTTTTAATTTTCCTGAATCTGCCAGCTTAGTTCTGTCAGCTTAGTCCTAGATTTGTTTTGTGTGCTATCTAGCTCATCCATCTGATTTCCAGATTCCAAAATTAGGTTACTCTCCTTTTTTTTCTTTATTGTTGTGAAGTTGTGAGCTTCTAAAAATACCTTTGTTGGCAAAATTAGATGATGTTAAAGTCAAAATACTGGTTATCTCTTGAGGGACGAGTAGCCTGGGGAAGGACATGGAGAGCTTTCTGGCATATTTTAAGATTTCTGTATCTTTATCTCAGTGGTAGTTAGATGGGAAACTCATGTTAAAAAAATATTGAGTTGTATACTTAGCAAAATGCATTTTATACATTTAAGTGTAAAGTTTTGACAGGTTGATTTCATGTACTCTTTTTAGCTAGAGTCAGATAACGTTGGGAAAAACCCATTAGTTATGATTCAAACTTGTGTAGGGTATACTAGCATGTTCTATTTCTTATTGTAATCTTTGGTATAATTGAGATATAGAAAGTACAAGTTATATTTAATTCATCTTTGCAAAGGTAAATCAGTTTGGTGCATATTTTTCTAGCTATTTGCAGTGTAAATGCTAACATACAGCTTCACATGTATCCCCACATATGTTATAAATGTTCACAAAAATTAAGAGGTGTTTGAAGGAAACTTATTTGCAAATAAAATATTTGTTTTTTTTCTGATTTACAGGTATAAAGAAAGTTCTACAGAGACACAGGTTATCAGGAAATTGCCACATGATTACATTTCAACTTGAATTTCAGATTCTGGAAATCCAGGTAAATGAAGGAGTATGTTGTGATAACAAAGATTCTGCTGCTGTGATTAAGCAATTCCCTCACTGCAGCCTTCAGTAATGGCTGAACTTAGGAGGAATTAATGAACTAGGGACCTCTTATAGTACATTTGTACAAAGTGATACCATGTCAGAAAAATCTTTATAGTATAAACACCCTGGCAACTGCATATGGTTGTTGCTGAGGGTATGTGTGCTTTTATTGGAAGGCAGATAGCAAGATCCTTCTCATTTCTCAGAGGCCAGGACAATAGTGCTGGATGCCCTCATTAGTCTGCTGATATGCGAGCCTTCTATTACTTATTAGTTATCTGCTGGGGCCTAACAAATATCTCCCAAATTTTATGGCTTGAAACAACAAAAAACTGTTTATCTCACCCATTTTCTGTGGATCAGGGATTTGGGAGTAGCTGAGTTGAGTGTTTATGTTCAGGGCCTCTCATGAGGTTGTGGTCATTTGGAACCATAGCCATTTGAAAGCTCAGGGGCTGGAAAATTAGACTCCAAAGTGGTTTGTGGTTACACCAGCAAGTTATATTGGACTGCTAAGACATGACACAAGAGAGGGATACTTTTGGCTAAGACTTTTGCGTAAAGTCAGGAAGTAGATAGAAAGACAGTGTGTGGCATATGGCCAGGGTTGGGCAGAACAAGGCTCAGACACCTTCAAAGTATGGGTCCGATAAGAATGGGATCCAGGTGGAATTTTAAGAATTGACCGGGCCTGGGCACAAACTTTGATACCAGAAAAATAGTTCAACTAGTTGGTTTTGTGGACTGGGCCTACGTGGAGAATGTGTAAAGGAGGTGAACAGGGAAGCGGGGACAGGCTGTCTTGGCCTCAACTCATTGGTAACCAAAGCAGGTGCTGCCCAGGTGTCACAACCTAAGTCATATGGACAAGATGGTGCTTATATTCATGGTTAGGTACCAAGATTCCTGATCCTTGTCCTCAGCCACAAAAGCAGTCCCAAGTTTTCTCCTTTCGCATAGAGCAAGGACTGATGTCAGATAATCAGGACTCTGCCTCCTTAAGTGGTGATAGCCACCCCCAGCGAGTCGGAGCGCCTGCTCTAGGTGCCTGGTGAGAGGTTTTGCTTCTTGAGAAGTCTTTGCAGTCCGTATCCCTGGTTGCTGCCTCTGGTCCTGCCAGGCAGAGAAGGGGCTGAGGGGTGTCTGGGGCCCTCAAAGGATGACCGAGCTCCCACCTCAGCGTATTCCCTTTTCTTTTCTTTTTTATTATTTTTTTAAATTAAAAAAACAATTTTTTTCATGTTTTATTTCTGAGAGAGAGAGAGAGACAGCGTGAGCAGGGAGGGTCAGAGAGAGAGGGAGACACAGAATCTGAAGCAGCTCCAGGCTCTGAGCTGTCAGTACAGAGCCCGACGTGGGGCTCGAACCCATGAACTGTGAGATCATGACCTGAGCCGAAGTCAGACGCTTAACTGACTGAGCCAGCCAGGCGCCCCAGCATATTCCCTTTTCAAGACTGCTGAGATAACTGAGGACATTCACAGTGTGTCGTTTCCAGGGCTAGTTGAACAGGATATGTCACAGTCAGGGCATGAGTGATGAGTAGCCTTAGGGGAGGTAAACTTTTCCAGGTTGTTACCAGGGCTTGGGACCATACAGGGTCACCAAGGTGATATTACTGTGTTGCATGACCTAAAAACCTCAAAGATTATCTGCCAAAGACTAAAACAGAATGTGGATACAAAAGGATTGGTCTCATTTGGGTTGGAAAGTCTGTGCTAAGATCCCATACTTCTCTTGGGGTGTCCAGGAACACCTGGGTGTTGTCCCATTGCAAAAGGTTGCATAGTCATGCCAATTGAATTCTCTCTCTCTCTCTTTTCTTTTGTTTTTGTTTTTAAGTTTATTTTTGAGAGAATATGAGTGTAAGTTGGGGAGGGGCAGTGAGGGAGGGAGAGAATCCCAAGCAGGTTCCCCACTGTCAGCACAGAGCTCAGTGCAGGGCTCGATCTTACGAACTGTGAGATCGTGACCTGAGCCAAAATCAAGAATTGGATGCTCAGCCAACTGAGCCACCCACGGGCCCCTGAATTTTTTCTCTTTGGGGCTAAGGTGATCCTATTTTCAGAGTAATGATATTCCACATACTTAACTGCATCCTGATCTCCATTAATGGACCAGGCCTACAGTCCATGTCAGGTTGGTGGAGTCAGAGGCCCAAGGTCCATCTCTGTGTCTAAGAAATCTGTAATAGCAGTGTATACATTGCCCTGGAGTGTCCTAGTAGCTTTTGGGTCCTTCAGGTTATTTCTCTTATTGTTTATCTTTTACACAGTCATTCCAAAGATTATATGGAGAATAGCTAGACTTTGTCCAAATTAGGCTCATTCTGGGAGCTTGTCCATAAGTCCAACTGAAAAAAGAAAGTTCTCCTTTGAAGTTGAGGTGAACCAGCTGCTGAGTAGAGCTGTACATTTCTGAATGGCTTGCCCCCAAAGATTGATTGGAGTGTTCATTAGTGAGCCTATGGCCTAAGAGATAAAATAGGCTGCAGTTTTTTTAAACTTCTTTTTGTTTTAGTTGTGTATTTTGGTCATCTTAAGACTCTGAAGGAAAACACCATTGGTAGTTTGATCCCATTATGAGTCAGATCAAGGATGACATCAAAGTTTGGGGGTATTTTTAATGACATGTTGTGCTTCTGAAGAATGGCTGCTACCTGACCAGAGGCATTCGCAGCATGAGCTGGAACTGGGTAACTCCTATAGTCGTTTGGCTTGCTGGTCCTGGGTGGCTGTTTGAGCCAGTGCAGACAAGACAGGAGCCACGTGGGGCCCTTCTGCAGTCACCATGTTCCCACCTTTTACTGGGCCATGGTGGCACCAGCCCATACATATGTCATTAGTAACAGTACTTTGAGCTTAATATTATGATCCCATAGTACCAAAGCATGATTGAAAATTTTATGAGCATTTACTAATGGCTTAAATGTATACTATTAGCTCATTTGCTGAATAAATTGGAATTAGTTGAGCTGCATATGACAGAAAACTTAATAAAGGTGGATCAAAGTACTAGAAGTTTCTCTGTTGCTTAAACAAAATTGTAAGGTAAGCTTTCAGGAGCCAGGATGGTGACATTATGAGTATCAGGCTCTGCCATTAGCCTTGTGGCTTACAAATCATGGTATGATGATGGTTTGAGCATGTAAGGTGTTGGGAAGGGGGATGGGCAAACAAGGGCTTACTTTTCTGTTGAAAGATACTTTCTAGAAGTTGTAACATTCATCATTTTGACCTACACTATATTGGCCAGTAACTTAGTGCAAGAGAGGCTAGAAATTCAGTCTTTGTTATGCATGGCCATGAGACCAGTGAAAAATTGGTGCAAGAAAGAAGTACAAGTTTTGGGAACTACCAGTAGTTTCTGTTCCATATGCCTTAGGAGATGCAGGGACGAAAAATCTAAGAAGAGGACAGTTGATATTCTTTAAAAGACAAAGATACATAGTAACTGCTGAATCTCTAAAGAGATACAAGTTGTCATTGTTTACATTTCAAAATAGTAGGAATTTTTTTAGGTTTATTTGAGAGAGAGCGTGCTGGTGCATGCAAGTGGGGGAGGGGAAGAGAGAGAGGGAGAGAGAGAGAATCCCAAGTAGGCTCCTCAGTGTCAGTGCAGAGCCCAGAGTGGGGCTTGCGCTCATGACCTTTGAGATTATGACATGAGCTGAAGTTGGATGCTTAACTGACTAAGCCACCCAGATGCCCCAAAATAGTAAGAATTTTTGAACTGCTCAATTTTACTTAATTTGCTGCAGACTTTGGCTGGTTATGTTAACAACATTTGGTTTCTCTCTGCACCTTTCCAATTTTATGATTTTTCTTGAAAAGCAGATTACTAAGTAAGATGTTTCAAATAGTCACAGACAACTCTCGAAAAAGGAAGATTTTAGGAATGAGTCATATGTGGGAGAAGTAGGGAACAACCAACTATATTTCTTTGTTGCTTAGAATTCTAATGTAATGGGGACGCCTGGGTGGCTTAGGCAGTTAAGCGTCCGACTTTTGCTTAGGTCATGATCTCGTGGTTCGTGGGTTCGAGCCCCGCGTCGGGCTCTGTGCTGACTGCCAGCTCAGAGCCTGGAGCCTATTTCAGTCTGTGACTCCCTCTCTCTCTGACCCTCCCCTGCTAACACAATCTCTCTCTCTCCTAGAAATAAATAAAACATTAAAAAAATATATAGATAATTCCTTTAAAAAAAAAAAAAAGAATTCTAATGGAATGACCTGATAAGAATTTTAAAAAACTTTTTATTACTTAATGGTAAATACCTACATATTCTAGGCCTCTTTGTGTAAATATGACTTTAGAATATTAGACCTGCTTAGTCTTAGGAGATACGCATGTTCAGATTTTTTATACTTGAGACTTACAGGAAAAAAAAAAGAATGAAGACACTGCAACTTTCTGATTCTTAAACATTTTTTTAAACAAAATTTCCACTAGAGGGAGATATTTAACCATCAGAAAATTGAAAAGTAACCTAAATAATAAAACTATTATACTTAATATTGTTATAATAAAATCATAGTAATACAAGGTGAGAACCGTAAGTGACTTATAAGGTCTCTATATGACTATTAAGCTCAATGCTCTTATTTTATAGGGAAATGCATCAAGGGAGTTTGAATGATTACCCGTGTTGGCACAGTTGTTGTTGTCAGAGGTGATTGGAATATACAGTGCTGTTCTCTAGAGTTCCTCTCTGGTGTCATAAGAACATCAGAATTGACATGTGTCCATATTCATCCTCCATAGTAAGTCAGATGGGTGTCAGTTTGTAGGGAGAAGGACTAAGTATGTTTTTGTAACTACTCACCCTAAAACCCAATGAAATGAATAAAATGATTCCAAAGTAGGGAAATTTTGAGTTAATATCTGGTCTTGGAACACCCTCAACTACTGGGAGCTATTAAAAATAAAATAGGCTACTTGAATAATCACAAA